TTCTTAATTCATTATTAAGAAGAATTTAGTAATAAACGTTATTTTAATGCTCCTTAATTTACTTGACATTACTGACCCTATCTTAATTATTTATGTTATTCAAAAAATTTACAGGCAATTCGAGTTCAAGAACAGTCACTCAGTGATCGTTTTAGAATAGAACATTTGGAACGTTTAAAATGTATGAAAGAATCAACAAATCATTGAGTGACCGAATCAATTAATAAGTTAAATAATGAATCAAATAAGCAATTAGTAAGAGAATCTTTAAATCAGCAAATGAGAGAGTTAATGTAGCGGTAAATAAGTGAATTAATTGATTCAACGAATGATGATTGTGCGAATCAACAAGTCGATGAATCGATGGGGGAGATTATCAATAAATTAGCAAATGATTATTGAGTTAAACAATCAATCATTAAACTGATATGTAAACGAATCAATGCTTGATACAGAGTGCGCGAAGAAGATTAAATCAATCAAATTAATAAACAATAATGAGGTGAATCATTAAATCTTACAAGTCTGTATGCATTCCTTAATTTACATAATCAATGATTATTCATTTGTTCTCCCATTCATTGGTTAGACATATCATTTATGTTCTCATTCATTATTTACAGTTTCATTGTTTTGCATGATCATAAGATCATTGATTTATTGATATACTTATTCATAAGTACACTCAATCCACGAGTTGTTGATTTATTGTGATACCCTCATTCACAAATTCTTTTATTTATTCTTAAGCTTATTCACTTATGCGTTCATTTATTTAGTTTCGAATTCCTAGATTCACTCAGAAACTATTTTTTGTTCATTGATTCTCTTACTTATAAATTCCCTTTTCTAGCAATTTTCTCACTCATTATCTGATTGGATTATTCAATCATCTATTTTATTATCTCAAATATTATAATCTCATTCATCAATTCACCTTTTCCTTAAAGCAATTTTTCATAAATTTATTTATTTATCAAATCGCTATTAGAGATCAACAAATGAACCAGCCAATGAGTAAGTTGGCTAATTCATTTACTGATTTCTCATCGTTTCGCTCATTAATTCATCGGCGGATTTCTGGATACTCTCATTCATTTATATGCTCTTGAAATTGTTATACATTTAGATAATTTCAAAGTAATATTGTTTTCTCCTATCTTGTTACCTAGATAAAGACATTACTGGCAGTCATGATAATTTGTAATCCAATATTATGATTAATTATTTTCTCAATTACTTAAGAATATGTTTACTTGTAATCATTGTCTTTAATAAGTTGTAAACACGATTACCTGCTATCATTTTTTGCTGAATTTAAAAGTAATAGTTACTTGTAATTGCAGATTGCGGTTACTAGTGATAGCGATTAAAAGAAATTGCTTGCTTGTAATCATTAATTGCAATCAGATACATTTTTCCCGTTACGGTTTTCTACATAACTTAAAACAAAAAATTATGGGGGAAAAATTCATAAAGCGTCTGCCAGGGTACATTTTCCACCCAACTGCTTATTTTTCATGTTTTGTAAAAGGAATATTTTTAAAAAATGATCTACTATACGCATTTTTGAAAAATATGACGTCTTTGCAAAACATGAAATCAGTTTCAAATAAATCTCGCAGTACAAAAATATGGAAAATTTATGAGTTTAATTAAATTTTACGCACTTTTTCAAAAAAATTCCTTGTTAAAATATTTTTAAATTCATATTTTTGAATAATTTGCAACGAAATTGTTTTTCTCCTTTAACTTGCATTGGTTCCAAGTAATTAGGTACACGCAAGTCCCACATTCCAAAAAGTATCTTTTTCTTTCGTGTGACTATCTGCCATCTTAAAAATAACCTAATCTGTAGATCGAAATTAAAAAGAAAATAAAAACATGTATTCAACGTGATTTTTTATTTGAACTGAAATTTTTATAGATTTATTTTTTATACTTTTTTTTTGCGTCAAACTTAAATTATGAGATGTTGATCGGCGACAATTTAACATATAATAACAAAATCATAACAATAATGAATTAATCAATGTTACCTGGTATCACATTTATAATAGAAACTTTTATATATTTCGAACCTGAAAATGAATTGTGTATTATATAGTTGCTCTTTAACGAGCACGATTTGATTTTTTCGATTCCTTGTTTTTTCATGTCATGTCTTCATATCATAGGTGACAAATTCACCTACTCGCAACTGAGACTAAAGAAACCATGCTTTATTCTATATGAAGTGAAAGACGAGCATGAAAATTAAACTCTCAAGGAGAATCTCATAACTTAGAATGAAAAGCTCAAAAAAGCAGAAATCATGGTGTTTCTCAATACCAAAGCAGGACTGAAAAAACATAGGGTAGTTCGATGGATCCTCACCATTTCGATATAACACTCCAGTTGGCTTGCCTTTAAGATCGGATGGAAATGAGTTCAAGTGCGTAACGTAAGTATTTAAAAGTTCTTAAATGTTTCAAGTGCTATAGACTCGGCCATAAAACCTTGAACATAAAAACACTGAAGCGTACGCCAACTGTGAGAAAACTGGGCACTTGAGTAGCAAGTGCAATAAAGAGTGCTAGAATCAATTGCAAGAAAACAAATAAAAGGTACGACACAAAACTGAAAACCAGCCATTCATCTATGTACAACCGGTGTGCATTTATAATGAGAACTCAAACCTAATTCCAGAGGAGGACCGCCTATAACTGATCCAACCCGAGCTTCAAACCCCTTTAAGACTTCTTAGATGTTTCCCAAAGAATAACTAACTGCACTGCTGAAGTTCTGATGTTAATTGTCTTGTTTTTTATACCATGAACTAATAATTTTGATGTAATTTTTTAATCGCTTGTAATTTTACTAATGAAATAGGGCTCGCTAATCTCCTCGGCGGAGGATCCTCAGTTGACCTGTCTGTCGCCCGAGGCTAATTTGGCACTGCGAGTTCTGGATCCCAAGTTAGGTGCTCCTTGGTTGTCGGCTCAATTACATCAATTGTGCTTTTCTAGTGAGTGACTTGGGACCTTATGCCTTGGGTTTGCTTTTTACTTGGTACTCCTGCTGTTGCTCACACATGACGGATTACGCCTTCCGACGAAAAGGCTTTGTGATCGAGCGCCTTAAATCAATTCTTTAACTATTTTTATAGGACAAATTGCCATTATTGAAGTGCTATATAATAATATGACATTAAAAACAAAAAATAGAAAGAAAAAATTGAGTTTAATAAAAAAATTATTTTTCTTTTTATATTTCGCTTCCTTTTAAAAAAATTTCTAAAATTTAGGTGGTTTTCAAAAATTATCAGAGTCATATGCAAAAAAAAAAAAGAAAAGGTCGTGGGACCTATGTATATCAGATTATTTGGGGCTGAAAGAGAAAATAATAAATTCAATGCAAATTAACTGATTGTGTAAAAGTAAACTTATTCATTTTTAGAACATTTTCTTAAAAAAAATATTTGCGCAAAAATTGAACTTTAAATGTCATATTTCAGCTCTATTTCAGTTTTTTCACTAATTCTTCCGTATTTAAAAAAGTAATAGTTGGAAGAAATTACAAAATTTACATGAATTTTCTATCTTTCAACAAAAATAAGCACCTTTTAAGCACTCAAAAAATATTTTTAAGCACTATATACATTAACAAAGTGCAAAATAATTTTCAAAGACTTTACACGATCATGATAAAACAACTACTTTCCGACAAAGAACTCTTCTCGTGATTATATTAGCCACCATAAAAATATTGAGAGATTTTTGGTTCGATTTCAGAGGATGGAAAATGAAACCTGAAATTTAAAATATCTTGCAAAATGCAGCAGAGTTGCATATGAGAGTGCTAGAATCTCACCGAACTCAGCTCAGTAGACGAAAATGCGGACTCGCAGGTATTTCATCAAACAAGTAAAATGATTGGCGCTTACATACGCTATGGACCAATGGTAGGCTGAAACGGATTGTGGTTGAATGAATTGTGAAAACGTTGAATAGAACAATGTGAAAAGCGCGCTTTTGCATAATAAGTGGTGAAAATCGACATGGCAAAAAAAATCTCATTTTCGAAAGGGAAAATTAGCACTTTTTAAAAGCATCTAATACAAAAAGCACTTTTATGGGCTTTTAAAAAACGAAAATCGAAAATAAGCACCTTTACGCACTTTTTAAAAACGCTACGCACCATGTATAATACTATGACAGATAAAGTCACTATTTGGAGTGACACTTTAAATAACATCATTTTCAAGTATCCCTTAAATAACATTTTCAAATAAGAATTTTTTTTTAAAATTTGATTAAAAATGTTTAACTGACATTTTCAGCAACATTTGAAGTTCATTAATATAAAGTATAAAAAGATGCTTTTATTAAATTTTTTGCTTACTGCTGGTAGGTACAAATGAATCAGAATATCAGGCTTTATCATGCTAAGTGCCATATTCAAAAGGTTAAGTAGAAATTTTAAATTTCACTTAAGTGAAATTTTTAAGTCATAATTCTAGTGATATTTATTATGGAAAATTAAGTGTTTAAAATGATTTCAGTTATATATAAGCAAGGTTTCTGAACAAAATTAATCAAAAATTCCTAAGACTAACAAACAAGTGACCTCATTAAAAACAAATCAATGAATGTGTTAAAAAAGAGTGACTTTCAAAAGATACCAGCAAAAATTTCATTACATTTTTATTTTTATTTCTCCAGACATTGAAGTTTTATTTGAAAATTTTTGAATTGAGATAAGTAGGGAATCTTTTTAAAACAAAGTAATGAATTTTATCATATTATTTTTAAAAAAACGAATAATTTTTATTAAAAAAATAAATAATAAACGTTTACTTAAAAAAATCTTAAGGATAAATTTCTTTCTCTATTATAATAAAATGAAACCGGGAGGATCTCTATTATAATAAAATTAAACTGATTTCCGAGAGGATTGAACACCTAAATCCCATTCACTAGCTACGGCCCTGCTCAAGATTTCTTGAGAGTAAAGTAGACTTTTTGACCAATTCTTCTAACTTTTATTTCGTTCACTTTAAAATTTAACAGTTTATACAGAATGTTCCATTGAGGCTGTTTTCGATGATAAGTTTTAGAATTTCTGTCGAAAATTAAGAAAAAATAATGCATAAGACATTGCAACATAATATCAAAAGCAATTTAGAGCTTTTATCAATGATTATAAAGATTGATAAGAGCAGTTTGTATGAGAATGATGATGAAAGGTAGATGCATTCCAATCCCATGAGACAAACTAATTTAAATATTAATCCCCTCAATGCCCTTATCAACCTTGACAACAATCAGTCATAGTTTGAAAACGTTTTTTACTTACATAATAATATATGTCGTCTAATATGCATGGATTTCTTTATTCACTTTTATGGGAAGTGAAAACTTATAATGGGACACCCTATGCATCATTCAGTCATGTAGTTAATGCCATTCATGCCATTAAACATAAAACTTTTTTGAAAAAAGAAAAAAAATGGTGGCATGAAAAAAAAAGGACCTTGATAACTGGACTTAACATTTTAGGTGCTAGTTATAAAACTCAGCATTGATCACAGTAATTTCTTCAGAAGAACATTTTTTATCCTTATAAAATAATTAACTTTGCCATCAGAAAATACAAAAAAAAAAGTTGATATCTGAAAATACTAAGGGTGGTATTTCATCTGCAGTTTGTTAATTTACAGAATAAACATAATAAGTTAAACAATTTTTTAGTACAAATAACAAAAATACTTTTAATGATACACACAAAAAATGTAGTAACGATCTAATATATAGTTAAAAAGGCAACAAATATGACAATCAAATACACTGAAAGACATAAGCAATTGTCCATTCATTTTGCTTTTTACATAAAATATATCAAACTTAAAACAATTCTTTAAATAAACAATAGAACTAAGAATTGAAGAAATTGCAGTGCATCATGAATATTTATGCTTATCGTTTGATTCTGATAAGCTCAACATTCTACTACTTAATGATTCTGGCTTAACCATTTTTTTATTTTCTTTTTCTTGCTTTCTTCGCTGATGCTCTGCACGTCGTTTCTCTTGCTCAGCTCTCTTTTTCTCCCGAATCAATGCATCTGGATCCCAATCTTGCTCAGCATCTTCACTGTTTTCCCAATTGCATGGGTTGTCTTCAATTACTCCTAATTCTGGATTCTAAAATAATTTTAAAAAAACATTAAAATTTGTAAGCAAAAGAACAGACTTGAAAACAAATCTTATGTATATTCATTTTTCAATTGTCACATACTTTTCTTGTGTATTACTATACTTGTTTTTTATTTCTTGTGTATTGTTATGGTTATTATGTTTTTCATGTGGCAAGATAAAATACGTTAATTTTGTCTGATTTTTTCGTTTGACATGCAAATAAAAAGGAAAAGGGATTTTACTGCTTTCTCTTAAAGTTAAGTGGCTTAAAAAATCAATTCAAGGTCATTTCCCCTATAAAATGCGTTAACAAGTTTGAAATGTTCTCTGAAATATTTTGGAAAATAGGGAAAGTGTATCTCAAAGAAAAATTTGTTAAATGGAAAATTCATTTTGCTATTTGGAAGTTTTTTTACGAAGAAATTTCCAAAATGTGCTGGGTTCCTCGAAAAAAATCGCAAAATAGAGAAATTCACAAAATGGAAGTTCATTTCAATAGAAGGCCGACTGTATATATATATTTGACAGAAGGAAAACTCTTGTCTCTAAGATGAAAGTCAAATGTCACAGTATTGAATTAGTTTAAAATTATTGAGTATTGAATTAGTTTAGAAATCCACCCATTAGAAAACCTGAAATCATGAGTTCAGAAAGGGAAAAATTTAAAAAGTTGATAGAAAGAAATAAAAATGAAGGATATAAAACCAAACTAGCTGACTGGAAGTATGAACAAGCACTTAATTATGTTTCAAGACAAGCTAACCGCATCTTCAAAACTAGGGTGTCCCTATCATAGCATAAATCTAAATATTACTTCGCCCTGGAAGACCATCCTCAACTTAATCATGTATTGGACCCTAAATTCAATTTGATATCATTATTCATGAGAAGCTAATGCAGAGATTTGCAATTATTTGAAATTGACTATTAAAATAAATTTAAAACAATTAATTTGAAATACAATTACGTTTCTATAGATACTAACGGAAATATTAGAATTCCAGTAAATTAATTTGTTTACGGGAAATGAAGTTTTTTTTTTTTATCAAAAACATTAATCTGGGTTTCAGACGAATTTAAAGTAATAAATAAATCAAGAAAGTCTGAAAATAAGTCAAATGGATTAGTTTTTATTAGAGTTAATTCATTTGGATATATACTATTGACAGTATCAATAAATCTGAAGCTATTCCTAATTAAAATTGCAGCTTCTTTTCAAAGTAGTGTAAAAAAAGGATAGCAAGAATATTTGAAAAATTAGTGCAGTGGGGTATGCCAACAATTTGCAGAAAGACACCTTCACCATTAAAAATAAAAATAATAGAATAAAGAAATTAATAATATTTTGCCAATATTCAAAATTGATATCAAAAATATTGCTAAAATCATAAAATTATGAGAAAAGAACACCTTTAAGTTTGTCAAGTGGTAGAAAGATCTTTAATGTCTTAAGACTCAATGCCAGTGATAAAGTTATTAAAAAAATTAATAACTGATTTATTATTTTTAATATGCCAAGTAAACCTGTACCATAAATATGATTAAATAAAAAGTTTAAGTATTAAATAAGCTGATACACCTTCTTTTTTCTCTGTTGGCTACAGTTTTTTCTAGTCTTGTTTCTTACCATTATTTTCACATTTATAATTGACAATTTTATGCTTTATATTTCAGATCTCATTTGCTTTTTCTTACTCACATCTGGTAAGTCTTGAAAAGGGGTGTCTACTTTGAGCACTTGAAACATGTCAGGAGTTGTTTAGTTATAGATATGTTGAGTTGTTAGATCTATTTAAATTAATTCCATAGATTCTGTGCGGAGTGTATTTATCGACAATGTCAACCTTCATCTATGAAAAGGTACCCCACTACAGAATCGAGTTAACATGTCTTATATACTAGTGAATTGGAATTATATTTTCGTAGTGATAGAAAAACTACAATTCTATAGAATGTAAGCATTCTATAGATAATTCAATAGAATATAAAGATTGACCAATATATTTCATATTACAGAATTAGCAAGAAATCATGTAAATAGTATTAGCTATTTGACAATCATTTACATTAATCAAATTATCATTAGTTACTTATTGAGGATCAAAATTAGAACAAGTTTTGTATCTCAGGGATGAGATTGGCCAAAAGGCAAAAAAGCTGAATTTCCATGTGAGTAAATTTTACTCGTGTGCATCGTTTAATAATAAATTCCTGACAATTTAAGATAACAAACAACAAAAATTGCTATTTTAGTCTGAAAAAATTACATGATAATCAGCAACTGTTTAAATAATTATTTTTCATATGATAAGAATTTCGCATTTTATATCATAAATAACAGCAGCACTATTTCTTAAATTTTAATGCTGATTTAATCAACTCTTTTTCCACAAAAAAATTTAATAATTTTTTAAGTGATTGTTTTTGTTTGCTATATTTTTTTTTTTGTTGCTTAATTTGCTGCAAACACTTCATGCTTTACAAAACAAGTAAAAAATCTTTTAACATGGTCAAATTTCTCGTAATGCAGCTTGTGATTGAGGGGAAACAGATTGGTGATTAATTTAGTCGTTAGCACATCTTCAAACAGCTTTTCACAAATCCTATTTTTTCTTTTTTTACCTGCCTTTGTCACATTCTTCCTTGCAAGCACATAATGTAAGTTCTGAATATGCCTATATATACTAATAATTGTTGATAGAAAAACAGTCACATTTATAGTAACTAATTTTAAAAAAACCTACTTCTTACAAGAATTGCGATAACTGATTTTAAACTCGTGTGAATACGAATCGTTACATAGGTTTTTAAAAAAGCGTAAATAGAAATAGTGATATTGGATTTTTAAATCTCGTATTGTAGTATATTCAAATCGCGTGAATAAGAATCAAAATGTTAGCATATTCCGGGCTTGAGACTTTTAAAAAGCTCGTTTGAAACAGCGACTGTTTGAATTAAGAAAATAGGAACTTTCTGGCGGGCAGGTAAAAATGAGAAAAATCGTATCTTCTGCTCGTAAAAGCGGCGAAAATAGCTAAAATGTAAAAATGTGGAAGGATTGGCAGATATGTACGTTGAATTTTCTGATTATCTTTGAAAATCGGAAATGAATATAATTATTTTATTTCAACGGCTAAATTTTTCGAAAAAGCAATATATTTATTTTAAAAAATTTTTTTTTAAAAAGTTAAACTTTTAGATAATCAGAGTTTTTGATAAAAAGGCTGATATTCGAGACACAAAAGTAAAAAAAGCGGAAATCCGCTAAAAAGCGGAAAAATCTCATCCCTGGTATCTGATATTGCTGCAAATATGAAAAGCATTCATATATGTATTATCAAACACTGTTATAGGTCTGATGATCCAAGACAATTCCCTATACATGTCTTCAACCAAGCACTCAATGTATTCGTCTTGTAGGAATGATATATTCCAAATTGCAATACTTAATAATGTGTGTGTATATGTATATATATATATATATATACACTACCGGTCAAAAGTTTGCGAAAATTTTGAAATCTACAAAAAAAAGTTCTAAATTCAAATGTTCATAGAACTGCGAAAAATCATTCAAATGGCATGAAAATTTGATATGTTTTAATGTGAACTCTTTACAGTTAGTTACATATGATCAAATTGCAATACTTTGTTTTTTGCTAACTGAATCCACCTTTTCATCATGAGTTGTTTCTATGGTGAAAAAAGTTGTTAAGTTTGAACACTTGCCAAACTTGCAAAAAAAATTTTTTGT